ATGCTATTAATATCTTCAGTTTTCAGATGAAGAAATCAAGTCTTAAGCCTAAGAGGTTTACAGATAGAAAGTGATGATTTAGGAATTGCTAACATTTACACAGCTAGTAAGTTGTGGAACAGGGATTCAATCAGGTCTCTCTGACACCAAAGTTTAAGTTTAACAACATATTAATCACACCTATCCATGTTCTTGCCATCATAAAATGTTTAGATCCTCTACTCACAGTATCTGCCCCAGATAGAAAATTTATAGTCCATTAATTTACTCTGTCTTATAAACAAGATATTGTTTCAAAATTAGAATAATCTAAGCTCACACTGAACAATTCTCTTAATGAACTAGGTCAAAATTAAGTAAAATGTGACTTTGACTTTTCCTTTTGTCTTTTATATTCCAACAATCAAATTATATTTTTTACCAACTCCAGTTATCTGAATACAGCCATACCATCCACCAAATTATTTTCAGTATTGCTGTGACAATCTACCTTATCACTCACAAAATAGATGAGTCTATAGTTCCCAATTCTCAGTTTTTACCTCATCTCCCAGAAATCCTCTAACAAAATAATTCAAGAATATGATAGATGTACTATAAAAGTATATTTTCAAAAAGTTTATTTTCTTGAATTATTTTCCTCCAACCAAATAATTCAAGATGATAGGTGTAAAATAAAAGTATGTATTTCCAGAGAGCTCAATATGAAACCTCTGCTCAGTACATAGGGTGAGTGACTCCTTCCTGAAACTCAGATACACTGAAACCAGGAGCACATGAAAATAAAGGTAAGCAATAGAAAGAGACATTTTTTAAAGATTTAAACATCAATTTAACAACTCTGTTTAAAGGTATGAAGAATGATAACGAGTTAGTATTCACTATTCCAAAACGTGCTATAAGAATCTGTAAAGTATCTAGACACAGAGATGAAAGCACCTTCCACCAGGAAAGTTAGAGAAGATGTCAAAATATGAAAGTTGAATTGTATTGAAAAGCAAGACAAAATAATAAAAGCATATCTAAAAATTTCCTCAATATGATTTCATTCACAGATATTGCCAGTTGACATATTCCTTGTCTCTTTAAACCTAGGTGTATCTGGGTTCTGTTTCACATCCACCAATCAGTTGTACATATTTGGGGAAATTATTTAACTACCAGGCGCCCTACGTTTCTGCATTTGTACCTATTTCTGCATTTGTACCTAGGGATAACAGTACCTATCTTACTAAGTTGATATGAGGATTAAAGACAGTGTTTATAATGCATCTGACATAGAGCCTAACAAACAAACAAATAAACACACACAGAAAATGATACTTAATATGATAAATTATGTAAGAACATGTAGGACATGAATAAATCTGAGTTTCACATAAATTACTCCAGAAGAGTCTGAAAAATGTATTACAAGGGAGAAGAAACTAGTAGTTGGAAAAAACACCCAGAAGGTGTTCTAAAAAAAACTAGATTGTTCAAAAGAAAACTAATGGGTTGGGTGGGGTGGCTCACACCTGTAATCCCAGAACTTTGGGAGGCTGAGCTGGGCAGATCACAAGGTCAGGAGGTGGAGACCATTCTGGCCAACATGGTGAAACAACATCTCTTCTAAAATAAAAAAAATTAGCCAGGCATGGTGGCACGTGCCTGTCGTCCCAGCTACTCAGGAGGCTGAGGCAGGGTAATCTCTTGAACTCGAGAGGTAGAGATTTCAGTGGGCTGAGATTGCACCACTGCACCACTCCAGCCTGGCGATGATAAAGCAAGACTCCATCTCAAAGCAAACAAACAAACAAAACAAAACAAACAAACAAAAAAACAAACAAAAAAAAAAAACAAAAAAGAAAACTAGTGAATACTTCAACTAAAGAAGAAAGTATGAGGATGGAGAACAGAGGATGACCTTGACAGATATTTAGAAAGATAATTAATAGAATTTGGTAACTAATCAGATTTGAAAGATTTGGGAGACTGTTGGATAATGATGAACAGCAGTTAGAAATGTTAATAGGTTAAATATAAGATATATCAAATAGATGTTGGCGTTTTTTGAAAAATAAAAAGATACTTCTAACAGCATGATAGCAAGACTAGTCAGGTGGGAGAGGTGAATGATATGAGCCTAAAGAAATGTGGGGCAGATCAAAACAGAGATAAAGACCTGAAAGGAGCTATTCGAAGTTTGTACCTTGCTAGTGATTAAGTAGTGAGGCAAGAAGACATACTAGTAAAAGGTAAGTGCTCGTTTAAGATACTACCATTACTTAGAAAGAACCCCAAAACTTGTAGAGCTAATTAACTCTAAGGTTCCAACTGATAAGTTCGTGTGAAATATTATTGCTTTGTTCAGTATTGACATCTCAAATTTGTCTCCTCAAGTAAAATACCTGGCTTGATTTTTAAAATCTATAATGTTTACCTTTTTACTTTTGGTTCATATTAAAAACTGTGTCCTATCTTTTATCTTTAAAATCTCTTTAGGTTTGGAGGGTACATGTGCAGGTTTGTTACATGGGTATATTGTATGATGCTAAGGTTTGGGCTTCTAATGATCCCATTGCCAAACTTTGAACATACTACCCAATAGGTAGTTTTTCAACCCCTTCTCTCCTCCCTCCCTCTTCCCTTCTGGAATTCCCAGTGTTTATTTTTCCCTTCTTTTTGTCCATGTACACTAATGTTTAGCTCCCACTTAAAAGAATATGCTGTACTTGGTTTTCTCTTTCTGTGTTAATTCACTTAGAATAATGGCCTCAAGCTGCATCCCTGTTGTTGCAAAGGATGTGATTTTGTTCTTTTTTTATGGCTGTGTAGTATTTCATGGGGTATATGTACCACGTTTTCTTCATCCAGTTTTACCATTAATGGACACCTGAGTTGATTGCATGCTTTTGCTGTTGTGAGTAGTGCTGCAGTAAACAAAAGGAGTGCAGGAGTCCTTTTGGTAGAACGGTTTATTTTGCTTTGGGCATATACCCAGTAGTGGGATTGCTGGGTCGAATGATAGTTCCATTTTCAGTTCTTTGAGAAATCTCCACCTTGCTTTCCAGGGTGCTAAACTAATTTACATTCCCACAGCAGTGTATAAGCATTCTCTTTTTTTCTGCAACCTCATTAACATATGTTATTTTTTGACTTTTCATTAAAAAGTTGGTACTAAAGAAGTTGGTATTGGCATGACATGTATCATATTGAGCAAGAATTAACTTGGCTAAGAGAGTGATTTATTAAATGATGGTTTTATCCACTTTTGAGAGTGATGATAAAGTAGGCACTGTTTAACCCAAGATATGTTATCTATAGATACATTATTTACAGAGAAAAGTCACAGCATATTTATAGATACAGTATCAAAAGGTACTTAATTCAGCACTCGATGAAGACAGTCACATATTGGTTTTTAAATATCTCAACTCATGTTTTGGAATAAAAACTGTAGGCATTCCACTCTACAGTTACCTTCATCATACATAGTCACTTCAGCTAAAGTACTTATCCACTGTGTTCTGTTTACTTCTTTCCTAAAGGAATGATGAGAACCCCTTACAAGTGTGGCTAAGAAAATAATCTTTGCTTTATACCAGGTTGGAGTTCTTTGTTATTGCTGTTTTTCAAATCCCTTCCTGCATGTTCCACAGAAATCTTTCATTTGAATGCCCTTTCTTCTCTGCTTATTGCTCTACCTGTTCTTTGGCAACGAACAGGGGAGAAGAGCCACTCCCTCATTGCAATCTACACTAAAAATGGATATCCTATTATATAATATTATGATCCTTCCTGAGAAACACCGTGAAACTTCAGTCAAATATTTTTATTTTACATGTTGGTATGAACAATTAATACTTCATTTTGAAAGTTCAAATTTTTACCAGCCTGGGCAACATAGTGAGACCTCCCAAAATAAGAAATTAGCCAGGCCTGGTGGCACATGCCTGTAGTCTTAATGCCTGTAGTCCTAGCTCCTTGGGAGGCTGAGGCTGGAAGATTGCTTGAGCCCAGGAGTTTGAGGCTGCAGTGAGCTATGATCCCACCACTGCACTTCAGCTTGGGCAACAGTGAGACTCTGTCTCAAGCAAAAAAAAAGAACTTCAGATTTTTACAGTGTTTTGGAAAATCCCTATCTGGTATTTGAATAATTGAAACATTTAATCTTAATGAAAGATGAAGCCTCAGGGATAACTTTCCAAGATATGTGTAATTCCTTATATGGTATTCGTGAAAGGTGATCATTTAGGTTCTATTTGATTACTTGCAGTAATGGGAGGCTCAGTCTCTGAGGCAACCCATTTTATTGTTATATGGGTTTAGTTGTTAAATTGTTATAATCTTTCTTCTAAGGCAGATGTCATTGAATTCTTAAAATTAGGAACATGGATGAAGCTGGAAACCATCATTCTCAGCACACTGACACAAGAACAGAAAACCAAACAGTGCATATTCTCACTCATAAGTGGGTGTTGAACAATGAGAACACATGGACACAGGGAGGGGAACATCATACACCAGGGCCTGTTGGGGGGTTGGGGGAGAGCTAGGGGAGGGATAGCAGGGATGGAGGGATTGGGGAGGGATAACATTAGGAGAAATACCTAATGTAGATAATGTGGGGATGGATGCAGCAAACCACCATGGCATGCGTATACCTGTGTCACAATCCTGCACGAGCTGCTCATGTACCCCAGAACTTAAAGTATTAAAAAAAAAAAGAAAAAAGAAAAAAGAAAAAAAGAACTCAAATCTATTGGATTCTCACTGTTCTTAGGATTAAGACATATTTCTTTTCCTGTCCTATCAGTTCTTCCTGGCATGGCTCCTGCCTACCTCTTTAGCCTCATATTGTGATTCTTTTCTTAACCAATCATTTCTAGCCACATTGGCCTTCTTTTAGTTTTTCTTTCTTTGTTTTTCTCTCCTGTAGAGTCTTTTCTTATGCTTTTCTTCATCCTAGGTAGCTCTCTTCCTAATTTTCTTTCAGCTTTCACCAAACTAACCTTTTTTAAAAAATTTAAAAATAGATGATTTTGTGTGTCATCCTTGTGCAGGGGCCATGCTAATAATCTTCTCTGTATCATTCCAATTTTAGTATATGTGCTCCTGAAGTGAGCACCAAACTAACCTTTGTCTTTTAGAACTCATCACAATCATTTCTTTAATTAAGCATTCTGCAATCTGCCTCATTAGATCAAATTCTCCAGTTATATGCATTCACAGGGCTCTGTACTTCTTTGTAACTTATATCACAGTTGTGATTTTAATTCATCAGTGATTAATAGATTAATTTTTTAAGCCTTTTTAACCCAGTGATTTCATTCACTATGTATCATCAGCATTTATCACTGAGCTGACACATGGTAGGTACACAGTAAATATTTGTTGAATAAAGTCAATGAAAAATAATAATAGGTCTGTGTTTTAGATACATCGGAAAATATCAGTTCTTCTGTATGACATTAATATATTAAAAAATGTTGAGACAGCTAGAATATGTCGTTGTCTTTCAGATGAAAAGCCTATATACATCCTGCCCTTAGATTGTCTTTCCTCTGCCAGTGAGCCCTTCACCGTCCTGGTTGCTTGTTCTTCTCTGCAAGCATTCAGATTAGTCCATGTGGTTTGTATTGTATAGTGAGGCACTTATTTTTTAAAATAATGCCCAACTTTTGAGATTTCCTTTAGGATCTAGAAATTTATGTTAGGATAAGAAATAGCTTTATGAGATTAGCTTCTAGAGTATGATTTTAAGTTTTTGGTTCATTTTACATGCAGTAGTTTAATTTCCATATAGGTTGTCTTTTGAAGAAAAGCTCTTGGTTTCTGTTAGATTTATTTCTTTTCAGGACTCAGGTGTAGATGGGCATGGGATTCCTTGAACCATGATTAAAAGAAATTTATTTCTGCAAGCCCTAACAATTACTGTGTATTTCTTTATGGAAGTGAAATCATGAGCTTCAAAATCTGTAACATGGAGTAAATATTTCTTGGATAGCATTTCACAATAAAAACCCATGTTCACGCTTGTAATTTAGGAGGAAACAATGCAAATTGTAGCAAGTACAATTAAAGCTGGAAATAAACTATACTATTACTTTTTTATATGTGTTGACTTCAACATAGTCTATATATATATATATATATATATATTCAACATATATATGTTGGTCATTGTTAGCCTTTCTTATCTGGATTAAATAACAAGTTAATAAATGTTTATTGCTTGTCTACTCTCTGTCAGATACTAACCTAGGTGCTATTTTACTGTCTTGGAGTAATAGCTTATTTTTCTGTTTATAAAGCTAATATAATTTCAAAGTAGAATATTTGAAAAATACAGAGAACACAAATACTTTTACCCTCTACTGTTAACACTTTGATATGTTTGTTTTTATTTAATATTCATTTAATAACTATTGAGTGCATATAATTTGCCATCAGTTGTTCTAGAAACTAGGGATACATTAGTTAACAAAATAGATGAAATTCTTGTTCTCATGGATCTTACAACCTAGAGAGGAGAGATATAAAATAAATAAAATATTTAATATGTCAGCTGGTAAGCACCACAAAAAATAAAACAGAGTAGGGGGATAAAAGAATACATAAGGTAGAAAGGGAAGACGTCATTTCTAGTAAAGTGACATTCAATTAAAGAGCTGAAGGACTTGAGAGAGGGTTAATCAGGAAGAAGGAATAGCAAGTGTAAGGGCTTTGAGGCAGGATCGTACATGGTATACATGGCATATTGGAGAAACGTCAAGCATGTCACCATGGCTCCAGCAGAGTGAACAAAGGAGGGATTTGACTAGTGTTTAAAAAGATCCAGTGTCTTAGTGGTTTCTGTTGCTTGCAACAGAATACCTGGGAATTGGATAATTTATAAAGAAAAGGAATTTAATTTTTACAGTTATGGTGGCTGAGAAGTCTAAAGTTAAGGGAGCACACCTACTGAGGTCATTCTTGCTGTTGAGGGCTCTGTAGTGTTCCAAGGCAGCACAGAGTATCTATCACATGGTGAGGGAGTTGAGCAGCCAGCTCAGGTTCTCTGTTTCTTCTTCTTCCTCCTCCTTTTCCTCTTCCCTCTCCTTCTTTGTCTCCCCCTTCTTCTCCCCTTTCTCCTCCTCTTCCTCTCCTCTTCCTCCTTGTTCTTTTTCCTCTTTCTCTTCTTCCTCTTCTCTTCTCCTTCTTTCTTCTTTGCTCCTCTTCCTTCTTCTTCCTTTTCTTTGTTCTAATCTTTCCTTCCCTCCTCCTCCTCCCCTCCTCCATTCCTCCTTTCCCTTCCTCCTTCTCCCCTCCTCCTCCTCCTAAGCTGTTTGGCAGTACCTAGTTATCCCATCCTCATCCTCCTCCTCCTCCTTTTCCTACTCCTCTTCCTTCATCTTTTTCTTCCTCCTCTTCCTCCTCCTCCTCTTCTTTTTTAAAAAATATATTTTATTGCATTTTAGGTTCTAGGATACATGTACAGAACATGCAGGATTGTTGCATAGGTACATATATAGCAATGTGGTTTGTTGCCTCCACCCCCATCACCTATATCTGACATTTCTCCCCATGTTACCCTGCCCAACTCCCTACACCCCACTGTCCCTCCCCTATTCCCCCCCAACAGACCCCAGCATGTGATGCTCCCCTCCCAGTGTCCATGTGTTTCTATTGTTCAACACCTGCTTGAGTGAGAATGTGCTATGTTTGATTTTCTGTTCTTCTGTCAGTTTGCTGAGAATGATGGTTTCCAGATTCATCCATGTCCCTACAAAGGATATGAGCTCATCGTTTTTTATGGCTGTGTAGTATTCCATGGTGTGTATCTGCCACATTTTCTTTATCCAGTCTATCATTGATGGACATTTGGATTATCTCCAAGTCTTTGCTATTGTAAAATAGTCTCCTCCTCTTTTTTCTTCCTTTCTTCCTTCTTTGAACTAATTTTTTGAGTTTTATTAGAACTGAGGTCTTACTATATGGTCTAGGTGGGTCTTGAACTCCTGAACTCAATCCATCCTTTCACCTTGCCCTCTGAAGGTGTTGGGATCACAGGCATGAGCCACCATGACTTGTCTTTGTTTCTCTTCTTGTAAAGCCACCAGTTCCACTCCAATTATAACTCATTAATCCATTAAAAGGATTAATTCTTTCATGAAAGAAGAACCTTCATGATCCAATCACCTTTTAAAAGCATATTGGAGATAAGTTTCAACATAAATTTTGGAGGGAACATTCAAACGATAGCACCCATCCTAGATACTCTATGAATAGGCTATATGGGAAAGAGTAAAACTAGGTAGACTGGTAAGAAGTCAACTGCAATGGAAAAGGAAAGAGAATATAGTGACTCGGATCAAAGGGATGAGAAGTGGCTGGATACTGAATATATATTGTCATTAGAATTTGTTGATGGGTCAGTTTAGGAGAGTAAGAAAAGAAGTGTCAAGAAAGCTATTATTCTTTCCTTCAGTCTTTTAAAAGTTAACCTTAAGAAAATTTGAATGCAAAAAATTATAAAATACACTTATAATGGTACAGTGTAGTTACTGTACAGTGTAATAATTAATCACCTCTGTATGCATCCCCAAAATATATCATTTAGTTTGCTTATTTATGAATGTTATTTAAGTTGAATGGTACTTTATATATTCTTTTGGTTCTTTCTTCTTCATATTGGAATGTGCTTATGAGATTCACCTATATTGTAGGGAATAGTGTTTGTTCAGTTTTTATTGCTATACAGTATTCTATGGCAGAATTATGTTGTAATGTATTCATTCCAGAGTGAGTAGACATTTGGGTTGTTTCCAGCCTTTGCTATTAAAATCACTGCTGCTATGAACATTTTTGTATGTGTGTCCAGGTGCATAAGAATTTTTCCAGAGTACATTTCTCCTTTTTAAAAATTGTAAGTTCTGGGATACATGTGCAGAATATGTAGGATTGTTACATAGGCATATGTACCATGGTGGTTTGCTGCACCTATCAACCCATCATGTAGGTTTTAAGCCCTGCATGCATTAGGTATTTGTCCTAATGCTCTCCCACCCCTTAACAGGCCCTGATGTGTGATGTTCCCCTCCATGCATCCATATGTTCTTATTGTTCAACTCCCAATTATGAGTGAGAAGATGTGGTGTCTGGTTTTCTGTTCCTGTGTTAGTTTGCTGAGAATGATGGCTTCCAGCTTCATCTATGTCCTTGCAAAGGATATGAACTCATTCTTTTTTATTGCTGCATAGTATTCCATGGTGTACACGTGCCACATTTTCTTTATCCAGTCTATCATTGATGGGCATTAGGGTTGGCTCCAAGTCTTTGCTATTGTAAATAGTACTGCAGTAAACATACGTGTGTGTGTCTTTATAGTAGAATGATTTATAATCCTTTGGGTACGTACCCAGTAATGGGATTGCTGGGTCAAGTGGTATTTCTTGCTCTAGATCCTTGAGGAATTACCATACTGTCTTCCACAATGTTGAACTAATTTACACTCCCACCAACAGTGTAAAAGCATTCCTGTTTCTCTACATCCTCTCCAGCATCTGTTATTTCCTGACTTTTTAATAATCACCATTCTAACTGGCATGAGATGGTATCTCATTATGGTTTTGATTGCATTTCTCTAATGACCACTGATTATGGGAATTTTTTTCATATGTTCGTTGGCCACATAAATATCTTCTTTTGAGAAGTATCTGTTCATATCCTTTGTCTACTTTCTGATGGTTTGTTGTTGTTGTAAATTTGTTTAAGTTCCTTGTAGATTATGGATATTAGACCTTTGTCAGATAGATAGATTGAGAAATTTTTCTCTCATTCTGTAGTTTGCATGTTCACTTCTAGAGTTTATTTCTAAGAGATAAATTGCTGAATCTTAGAGATTGTGATACTTCTATTTAATTAGGTATTACCAAACAACTTTCAAAGTAGGTATACCAACTTAAACATTCAACAACAGAGATTTTATATGGTTCTACATCTTTGCCAAGCATATATATTGTCAGCACTTTTGCCAATGTAGTGGATGAATATTTGCTTATTGTGGTTTTAATTTGTATTATTTTAATTGTTAATTAGGTAAATAATCTGTTTGTATGTTCATTGGTCATTTGTATATTATTATTT